GAAGTTTGCGGGAACACCGGCGCCGTGGGGCGGGCGGGAGGCGGGACGGGGCGAGCGGGGGAGCCGCCGCCTCTCAGCGACGGGAGAAACTCCCGCTGATGCCGATGAGTCGCGGTGGTACCGGGCTCCCCCCTGCCGCCCGCACCGCAGCACGGCGAGAGTTTTCAGGCACCTGAAGGTTTTCTGAGGGCTGGTGCTTATAGAAACATCACTTAGCACTCCGAGGTCGCAGTACCCACGTCCCTGCTCGCAGTGCCCGCGCGTTTCGGAAGAAAGGACGGGGAAGCGCCCTCCATGCAGGAAGGGGTTTCGCCATCGCCGGCTACCACTGCGCTGGCCATATAGAAAAATGTGTGTATTCACACGCACACAATCTGAATAAATAAAAGCTTATCCCCAAAGCTCAGGGCCCCATCTCCTCTGCCCGGGAGCCTGGCAGAGCGAACAGCTGGGGCGGTGCTGCAGCATCGGAGCTGGCTGCCGGGGCCGAGGGTGCTCGTTCTGCCGGCGGAGGACCGCCTTGCCTCTGCCACTGCCCGAGTGGGCGGTGTAAGCAACCCAGATGGTACTGTGGTAAAAAGACCGCTAGGAAAGATACGCCGGCGGCGATTTACGGAGAGAGACGGCGAGCGCAAGTCCAGCGCCGCACCCTGGTACGGAGAGCCGGGCTCTCAGCACCGTCCCCTCCCGACCAGGGATGGCTTCGGCTTCCCTGCAGCGGCAGCTCCTCCTCTTACCCCGCCCGCCAGCTCCGTCCCGCCCTAGCCACCTCCTGCCGTGGCGGCAGGATCCTCTGGCGGCGGCGCTGGGAAGTGCGAGGGATGGGGATGGGGCTGGGTCCCCAACCCCGGCCTGCCTACAGCCGGCGACAGAGCGCTCGGTTACCACTGTCGGTGACCGCGTGTCGCTACCGGAGCTGTACGTGGCTATCGAGTCACCCAGCTATCCAGGAAGACCTTCACAGTGTCCCCTCTTTCCTTGTACTGTGGCAGAAAGCTCCAAGGCTGGAGCGAAATTAAACAGTTCATTAATAATTGCATCCTTCTCCTCAGGCTTTAAGGAAAAAGAAAAGGTGATGTTTAAGGTTTTCTTTCTGTTGGCCTTGGTGAGCTATGTGTTGCTGCTAAAGGGATGCTTTAGCGCCACTTTTCATTACACTTCATGTCTCGGTCATTTCTGCTTGTCCACACTCACATGCTTTTATTTTACTTTTAAGCACACTCTGCCTTTGCCGAGCCTTTTCAAATTGTGTATTCAGGTAAAAGGCATGATTATCCAGCATAGGTTTTAACAAAAGAACATTTTATCATATCCTGTAATGATAGTAAATTGTTTATATTCTCTAGCACAATAAAATGGACCCACATTTAACTTACCTCTCATTGCATTTTCACAGGAGGCGACTATCTTTTCAACCTGAGGGATACCTTTGTGGTATATCTTGTACAGTGGGGAAGTATGAGTCCCTGAAAGTAGCTGTGCAGGGTGCTAGTTAAATCAGGGGGGAAATGCAGAAGAAGGGAATGGGACTCACAGATCAAGTGCCTCACTTGCTAGAACTGGGAGCCCCCTCTCTAGCACTGAACAGTTTGGGCACCTGAATTTTCCTGAGATTAAATGTTGAAAGAGAACCCTACTGGCGGTTTTCCTAGCACCCCAGTGCTACTTATACCATGAGCAGCACAGAAGGGAACTGGGGCTGCTCTGAGACAAACTAGGAGGGGCCTGAAACTTGTCTCTCTCAAATCTTCGTTCGCAAAACCTAGCCATGATGATGACAGCTTCTGGAGTCCTCCAGCTGAAGGCTTATTAGAGATTTTATAAGAGTCATAGGGTCAGTTTATTTGAACTGAAGGTCTCTGTCACTACTGCTGGAAGCACTCTGCTTCTATAAATAATTAACTCTGCCTTGAGTTAGGAAGTTGAACCTCAGAGGTCCAGACACTTTCCGTGTGCCCTCAGCTCTGCCCTTCAGCACAGGACTCTGCTCCCTGGTAGGATATGGAGAATCCCCCCTGATGCGCTGCAACTGAATAGCTGCAGCTATTCAGCATCTTCACATTCACATGCTGGCAGAAGAGGGCAGTAGGTCTGCTCCTCTGAGCAGTGTTCCTGAGGACGTCAATAACACCAGCCAGCAGTGAATGAAGAACTGAGTCTGGACCCAGAGGCCAAAACTGCCATGGGTGGCTGCTTCTAGCATTTATTATCATATATGTGACAAACTGTGTGTAGGGGGGTGTCTTATTTGTAGCAATTTTTCGACCTACGAATCCAACCTATCATTGCTGGTCCAGTCAATTACAATCTATCAGTATTTTTCAAAATCTCTCCAAATTCATCTAACTGAAATAAACTGGTATCTTCAATCAGCATTCTCAATTTCCTTTTCACTTTGTCTTTAGCCAGGGCCAATTTAAACAGAAGCTTTTAAGACATGATGACTGTGAGGAGTGATAATTGCTTTTGAGGATGGCAATGAAAAGGCAAATAATGCACTGCAGAATGGGACACTTCCAGTTCAGTCTAAATTAGTGGTAAACCTAAGAAGATCTTTCAGAAGTCATTTGGGTTTCGTAAAATCTAACTTCCAATCTTTCTGTCTTCCTCTAAACTGAACAAATGTCTATAACAACATAGTGGAAGACACAAAATCGGTAAAGCAAGGATGTCATCTGAGAGTCACCAGGCAATGACCATTACTTTAGTATTTGTAGTGACATAAAAACATACAAAAAGCCAGAAAGAATTCAAGCAATTTGGTCATTTCAGTGTCAATTCAAATCTGAGAAGCAAAGGTGTTAGGGGAAATACATCCTTATTACAAAGAACTTTATCTCCAGATTTAAAAGTCAAACAGCTGTGCATCTTGCCTGCAAAACTGAATAGCAAAACAGTTTCATTCAGTTTTTTGAAAGTTTAACTTACATGTTGAGCAAGGATTTTTGAAAGATATTATTATTTAATAAAATAATTTCCTTCTCAGTTTTGTACAAATATGTCTAGCTATTCCACAGAAGGTATATTGCATTTAGAAAAAAAGAAGCAGAACACAACTTGAAATAACAGAAGAGGGTTAAGCTTTAGAAAACATGTTATTGCTTAAATTCATCCTGGGAGTAAGTTGGCACAGCTCAAATATCACAACTAAAAGACCTTTTCCACTGTATTCAGCTTGTTCTTTCATTCTTAACATGTGCAAGTAAAGAAATTTAGCAGCAGACTGCACACACTTACTCTATGGTGTTCAATTGTTGTAATTCCCTTTTCAATTCTTTTTACTTGATAGCATATAGGGAAAATCCAGTAAGAAGCAACTCCTCTTTATCATTCTCTTTGGCCGTGAAGTAGATGTGTCCCACGGGGCCCCAGTTCACCCATGCTGGGGACAGTGACACAGCTCACTCCACTCCTGAAAGTCCAAGCTACTTCCAGGGGAAACCAGAGGAGATTGATGCACATCCAGATACCACCCCAGCCTGGAGCAGGACAAGGCCAAGGTGTTTCCTTTGAGACAGGATCTGGGAAATGCTCCCATCTCCCACATTTCAGATGCCATCTCAGTGAGTAATGGTCTCCCACACAAACAGTTCACTGACTGTGGAGAGATTTAAATTTTTAGGTATTGTGCAATGCAAGGTAGTGGCATTTAAGTATTCCAGTCTGGAATGTGTCGGCTTATTGAAGCATCTTACAAACTATGGGACAACACCTAGTGTTCCTGCACAAACACAGGAACTGCAAGGGAGCTGCTGCTTCTTCTTCTGTCATTTCAGTTCTCAGCAAGGATTAGGAAACTTCAACCTCATTTAGCAAGTCCACATTAACAGAATGAGCTCTAACCATTATTTTCCACCTTTACCTTCAAACACAGAAAGCAACAGCCAATACAACTGGAAGCGATTTTTGTACAGAATGCCTGTGGTGCCATATGCCTTTGGCATATCAGGTCCTCTATACAACAGGTAAACACCAATAAATTGTATACTAGAATAAAGCAAACAACCCGATCCTGTGGCCATACTACTCTGCTGTTTGCAGGTAGATCTGTACTCATTGAAGATGAGACTTTCCAAGTAAGTAAAGTAGATCTGAGTTAGAGATCCTAGCACCAAGTCCTGCAACGGAGACCAGAAAATCATACTGAGCCATACAGAGTATGAGTCAGACTTGGGTGTAAGCAAATAAAACAAAGCACAGAAACCCTCTGGGGCAGACAAATTGCCCTGGAGAAGATGCTGTAAGGATGGCTCCGAGTTTCTCATTCATGAAACTCAGTCATGAAATTCTCTGAGTTTCTCATCTCAAGAAATAGCCATGGGACTTTACATAAAGTTTTGCCTCCCAATAGGCACTGAAATTTTTCATTATATTTGATCCCCAAAGGGCCAAAGGGATAATGAACAAGGAAGTCTGTGGCTGCTCAAAGACACTATGGGAAGCCTACACGAAAACAGAGATCCACATCCTCACCTTGGCTCAGGATAGGACTGAAGAGATGGGCATGTTCCTCCCTTGCTCCTCTTTATCAGCATACAGTCATCTCCCCAATCTCATGGCTTCTCCATTGCCATTGAGAATTTGCATATTTCTCATTCCTCAGCATCGAACAAAAAGCTTCAAAAAGGAATAGATGTATGAGATTTTTTTCTTGGCAATGAAAATGTTTGGGAATGAAAGGGTTGAAGAGAAGACACATAAGAAGCCCAGACAGCTACCCAGTCCCAGATCAGACGCTCATTTCAAAGTGAAGCACAAATTCCTCTCTGTCCCAGAAAGATCACAGGGCTGATGCTTCATAGCAAGGTAGTACCTAATTCTGAAATAACTTGATCCACTATCTCACTCAAGACATGTTCCTTTCTGGGCAACAGGGAGGATGTGTCATATGCACATGTCATGGGATCAAGTGCACACATATGTGCTTTCCAGTTAATTCTTCAGCTCCTGTGGTGTGACTTTTTGGTCTTTTTAAAAGGATAACCAGTATAAGAATGACATTTTGCAATCAAATGTTGAATGCATTTTTTATTTAAACATTAAGATTTAAATACAAAAGCTTCTGGAACAATTAAAGGATGCCAAGGAGGAAAGAGCTGAAAACTCAGACTGCATTTTCTCATTCATTGTGAAAGCAAAACACATGGTCAGCAGCAAGGCGTTTTATAGAAAAGTTTCAGATGGACAGTACAAAGACCTTTCTGTCAATATTATCACTGAAACACCTTGCTGTCATGAAGTACATCTCTTTTTCTGATTGTACCCCTTAGTGTTGGCTGACTGTTTTTTGCTGTGAGAAACAATATTTACTGCAGCATAATCTCTGCTAATATAACACAATCTTCTTCTGGGGAAAATGTCCAAACATCATTTACTTTACCCTGATAAAAATGTCTACTGCTGTTGTTAAAAGTTTTATTTGCACAAGTATGTTCCTAATCTATGTTAATTTCATGCAATGTAACTCTTAATTTTTGGAATAAATACTGAGAATCGTTAGATAAAATTTCTTGGAATGCAAAATCCAAACAAATCTTTTCATTTAAATGCAAGATTCCACCACCTTTATTTACACAAGTAGCATCCTGCTCCCTATGTTATTTCAGTGCAAGCTGGAGTCTCAAGCAGTGAAAATCTGCATAGTCCCATTAGGATTTACTGCATTGTTTTTAATTTCCAATGAAAATTGGGCTGAGCAGTTTTATCTGTGGAGCAATGCACTGCCTGTAACTAGTAAAGGTGCTCAAACATAGCCCTACACTTAATAATTTGGCACATTTACAACTGGCGTTACTCAGTAACTTATCAGATGACAACAGTAGAGCTCTTCTGTAAAATATAGGTTAAGCCTATATTTGAATGACTGTACTCCTGAAGTATAAAAACCACGATATGTAGTACACTTGAACAGTTAAAAAATATAACTTATTTTATTTGTAAACTATCAATGCAAGATACTCAGCAGCAAAGAAGCCATGTTCAATGTCTTCTGATCTTTTATAAAGATCAATTGCTGTAAGTAATATAATAGTCTCCAAAACATCTGAGGTTACATGTAGAAACAATCAAGGCAATATTATTTGTACATATTATTAAACATGCAAAAAACTTCCTGAAGAATATTGCCCAAATGTGTAGAAAGTCATCTGGATCTCAAATTTTCCTTGGTAGCATCTGCTTTGTAAGTATGGCTCACATGTGGCTTCAGAGCACTTCAGTTTATTTTGGAGAATTGGCACCTTTAATTACAGGTTCCCTATTCAAATATGTAGCCCAGTAAACTAAGTTAAAAGTTCCAAACAGCACTGGAAAAATTATCCGTGACATTTTGTCAATCTTACTGATGCTGTTGTAAGTCTTTTTGCTTTCAGCAGGCTTTTCTTCTGCAGACTTCACTGGAGCAGATGTAGTGTTTGAGATGACAGATGGGGTTGAGTCCTTTGGCATGTTTGGTGCAGGGGTCATCTTCCCAGTTGTGTAAGTATTAGTTGATTTATTTCCCAACAAGTTGCGCTCTTTTTTCTGCAGTGTAAAGAACAAAATATTAGACCACATGAACAGAAAGTGGAAACATGTTCTCAAGATATTAACCGAAAAAGCTAAGCACCGTAATCAATCATGCTAATAAGAGCCTGTTGGTTGTTGTGACTTTGACTACCAAACAGATGGTTTTGCCTTGATTTTGTAGCCCTTACTCAGGAGAAATTTTCCTGACGCCAGAGTAAGCTGAGACTGACTGGCTTGACCTGCATCCCACCTGGCATGTGCATTAGCAGCTGCTTTTTTCAGGGCGATGCAGTCCTGCACCTGAAGGGGTTGCTGCTTCACGACAAGATATGAACCTCACTCCCCTGGCTGTGTGGGAACAGCTCATTGCCCCTGCCAGCTTGTCTCTTTGTATGGCTCTTCTAGGATGCCTGCAGGTACAAGCTCTCCCTAGGAGATGATTTACTAAGAGGCAGTCCTATTCCAAAGGTTTCACTTCAGCATGAAATTCAAGTTTGTCTTTTCACAGAACAGCTCTTTTGTCCCTTTTTTGGAGGGGATACTGTGATGGAACCCTGACTCATGGAGATCAATTGAGCTGTGCCATTTGTTTAGGAGAGCAAAGAGGGAGGGCTCTGCAGAGATATGTTTCATAGTACAAGCTGGCTATTATCAGAAGTCCAGTCACTGAAATCCCATGCCACATGCATTCGATGCCCAATATCCTTCTGTAAAAAGTCCTCTTCATATAGATGATAGAGACCGGTAGTCTATCTCCATGAAGAGAAGGTTGTAAATTTTCCTCTATAGGGAGGTGAAAGTATGTCATGAGGTAGTTTAACTTTTCCACGAAGAACCTGAAAACTGACTATTCAGTTATTTGAACTATATTGAATACCTGCTTTTTATTTTAGGTATTTAAAAAACCTAAGTTAAGCACCTTGATTTTCGCAGCTTCCTGGGCTTTTTTGCCATCCCACGCCCAACTCCTCTTGGTGAAATAATTGACTGTTGCAAATTCAATCAATGCAGAAAATACAAAGGCATAGCAAACAGCTATAAACCAGTCCATTGCAGTAGCGTAGGCCACTTTTGGCAAAGAGTTACGGGCACTGATGCTTAAGGTGGTCATGGTGAGGACTGTTGTTACTCCTGCAAAGAAGGAAAAAATAAAAGAGGCAGAGATCAGTTTCCTAACCTCTATGGGATCACTCATGAGTTATGAGCAGGTCCCAATGCAGGATACCTAAGAAGCCCACATGAAGTCAATCGCTGTTTGCATATTATAGTCTGAAAGAGTAAGAAAAAAAATGAAAGCCTCCACCCTTAGATGTTTAATTCTACGGGGTTCTGTTTATCTTTAGCTATAGCATATTTAAATAAGTATTTTTAGGGTAACCCAAGCCCAGTGTTTTTAATAGTCAGAATAAAGTGGGATTACTTAGTTTGTTTTCTTACACTGAGATTGCAGGTATGAAATTGTTGACTGGTTTTGGTTTCCCTGACCGTAGCTCCTCCTTTCCCATAGGCCAGTAATTGACAAAGCTGCCACTACTTTCATCAGTGGGAAGATTTCCCCAAAAGTACAAAATTCAACTCTCAGTTACACCTTTGTAAATCTAGAATGGGTACCACTGGTCAGCAAAGGGATGCTGCTACCTATATTCTCCCCATACAACTTGCTGAACTGATGTTTGATCAAAGCTGCCAACAGATTTTAGTAGGTTTGTACAAAAAAATGACTCCTTTAAGGAGAGGTGAACAAAGTTTTATGTAATTAACTGTTCCCACATCCCTCATTTTTCATCTAGTGAAAATTTTGTATTTCATCAACCTTCACTTAAGAGAGTGCTTATTTTCTGCAATCTTCTAGTGATAAAACAAGTAATTTAATGACACCCCAAAGGTTTTTTCCATAACAATTTCTTTAGTAAATATACATTTTCTAAATGCAAATTCATATTGATTTGTTTGATGGTAATAAAGATAATTGTCACTAATTAACCTCTGCATGGTTTTCCCAGATAAACATCCTACAACAGAGATACAAAAAATGTCTTGAAGTGAAATCTGTTTCAAATGCTTAGCTGGAACATAGACTAAACATGATAATCTGTATGTTTTTTTGTTCTAAACCATCCAGTATTTTACCCAAGTGGAAAAGACCCACCACAAATCACACCAATCTGATTCTTCTGTCTTCCGTCCTTAACTTTCACGTAATTGATTCTTGACCAATTTTTGTCATAACTTTGCAGAAAAAAACACTGACAGTAGTTGTAAATAGATTTTGAGTTTGAACTGGAAGAGAATGAGGAAATATCTATACCATCTCGAGCAGAAATAAACATTAGTTAACTGCGGTTTTGTTACAGCAAATCACTTCCACAAGCCAGACCTATCCTATCTGTGTTCTAGGAGAGAGGGGGGTACTCACCAAAGACAGTCCTAGCAGGGACAGATTCTCTGTTTAGCCAAAATGACACTTGTGATAAGATCACAGTCATAATGCAAGGAAGGTATGTTTGGATGACAAAATAACCAATTTTTCTTTTCAGATGAAAATGGGCTGTCATAATAGTATATTCACCTAGAAGGAGAAAAATGTACATGTGGGTAAAAGAAATAAGGTTTACCGATCAGGGACTTAAGGAGGCCAGCTACAACACCCCATTTGAGGATACCATTCAGCCATTCTTAATTGGATGAAAAATGTCTGGATTTCTGCACTGTGGAAAACCAAGACTTGAGACAGAGGTGCTGCTAAATCCTCATAGTCTTCACATTCACTCCCCAAATGCAGAAGACAATGACTGACTACTCCTACTACACTGAAAAGCTGCAGTCCTCCTATGTACCTGGAATGCTTAAAAAAGGCTTAAAAAATTTGGCTTGCTGGTACTGCCTCAGCCCTGCCTATTTTTGATCCATTCTGACAAACTTAATAACAGTTAAGGCTCTCTACTCTTAGAAACCTGATTTAGCATCAGAGATTAACCTCATTAGGGCAACTGTTACTGCCAAGCCATCAGTATGCAAGAATAAAAATGCATCTGGACATCTTCTGCACCACACTTAGGCATTCCCTGTCCCACTGTCTACTACAAAAATTGCCACTTTGCATATGGATTCTGGGATGTCTTACTGATCTGAGTACCCAAACCCTTCAGATTGCTCCTCCAGGACAAAAAAAAAAAAAAAAAAAGTCCCTCTAGTGCACAGTTTTCCTAGAATCTGGTACACTTTAGCCCCTGGAAAAATAAACTGTTTCTGGATAGACATTGTGTCATATCTTGTTTGCCTGCACAATGAATACTGTACTGCCTGAATGAAGAGCTCACTGAAAGCTGCCGCAGCAGCGATAAATTCCATGTCTTTTTTGTATGCCAAATTCACAGCATTGCCTTAATCTGTCTTTTATCAGCTCCTCTGAATTTCAGCAAAAGCCTAAAAAAATGCACTCCAACATCAACAGACCAACTGTTACCTTCCCTAATGTTTCAGAAAAAATCAAAACTTAACCTGCTCTTTCAGACTGTTCCTAGAAAACCATTTAGTTGTTACTGAAGGCTATTGCTGATGGTTACTGTCCCCAGTTCTTTCAGACAGTTCCTGGAAAACCATGTTGTCATTACTGAGGGCTATTCATGATGGTAACTGCTCCCCAAAGCCAAAATCTTGCTAGCTAAAAGCATGCTACTATTTGCCTGGGAAAAATTAGAGTAAACACAAAATGTAAGAATAAAAAACAACACAACCACTTCAAGCCCTAACAGTTCTCCACTCACACTGATATAAAATTAATTTAAAAGCATCATTCAGTTGGATACTGATGAATCAGAGTAATGCCTGTTCTGAAATATATATTGTCCTCCAAGAACGAAACAACTGTATCTATAATCTCTGTTGCAAAACTTGACTGTTAGTCTCTATAGGCCAGCCACAAAAGGAAAATATACAACAGACTGATTCTGTCTTGAGTGAATAGCCCGAGTTGAGCTGTGGCCAGCACTGCTAAGTAATTAGATTTGGCAGATTATTTCTAAGTGACAATATGGCTAATTAGCAGAGAACAGGTTTAGAGTGAAAGGGTTTTTGCAGGTATAGCTGCACTGATACGTTATGCTACAGGAGCTCAGCTATTCTGGATCCATTTTACAGACCTTATTCATGCTGAGGATTTTAGAAAGACTGAAAAAACACAGAAATACCTTAACAGACATTGCCTCAATCTTTATGTCTATCTCTGGAGTCTGATTTTCTGGTGAAATGGCTCCCTGAAGAGTGATGTGGAGAAGGACACGGAATGCTGTGAAACTGGGGAGAAAACCCTTGTGAAGCATCACCTAATTCCCTTCCATTTAGTGTAATTTTGAACCAGGGATGCTCAACATGCAGTGGTCTCAGGAGGAACGCCACTTACTCTTTATTTAGGAGTATCTAGTTTGTGGATTACCCATAAAATATGACAAGAGTCAGCAGGGTCTGTGTGCCTGTAATCTGTTTCTCAGTTGCTACTGCACTGAGATGTGTTTGAGTCACAGTTTCCCTGCTTGCAAGAGAGTGACGGTGTGTATTATCGATTTTGACAGTATGCTTTCAGAGCTGGAATAATAAAAAAAAATCTACAGAGCTTCAGCAGCAGAACAGGACCCTTTTTATTCCTTTTTAAAATGTACAAAATTAATGCCTACATTTTGATGGTCCTCCACAGCTGATTTTTGCCTTGACATTTTCTTTAACCTATCAAAGCCCTTGTCTCCACTGAAATGATAACACCTTGATTTTGCACTTGTTCTTCTCCCAACCAATATCTTCTCTGATTTCCCATCCTATCCTTTTCAAAAATGCCTACACTGGGAATACTTCCCCCAACAGACTTGATGCTTAAGAAAACCCCACAGATTGGTTTTTAATGCCCTGGGACCACTGCTTAGAGTAAAGCTAAAAGCTGTCTGAGTTGGCCTTTGTTCATTATAGAAGAAGATACTGGCTCTGTTAGAGCTGAAGAGTTCCCTTTTACTTCTGTAAGGCCACTGTTTATCCTTAGACCATAAGCTTTCCTGAGCAAGAGCTAATTTTTGTTATAGGTTTATGTAGCACTTAGAAGTGAATCCTTTTCCTGATGGGGTCCACTCAACACTGCAGAAAACAAACTATTGTTATTAAACTATAACAAACTTAGTACTAAAGAAAAGCCTAGAGCAGGAATGACTGCATTTCTTCACAGAGCTATACTGCTATGCTGCTGGTCTTAAGGGGTTTTTTTGTGCTTTAAAAGTTGCTACAGTATTTTTTTACTATCTAGTTGATGGAGTTCTGAAGATTGTGCTTTAAAATTTTCCAGGATCTTACATGCATTCTTCCACTGCCATTAGGCTGAGATTCAATTGAGTACTTTAATGAGGCTGGACAAGACACCAGTCTTGTTTGTTTATTGGATATACCTGAACTCAGGTCTATTAATGGCTCTTCTGGCAAGATCCTGAAGTTAGGTCTGTGACACCACCTCCCTGACCACTGCTGACATCCAGACCATTTTGGCCCATGAAAAATCTGTGTGTCCTTTTATAGTGATGCAGGAGAACGATTCATCTCCAGAAAAAAATCAGATTTATTTGGGGTAAAATGAAGAACTGAATGATTCTTTTATCATTTAGGTTCTGGATATTACAGAGCTTGGATTCCAGCTGGCAGAATATAAAAGAGTGGGTTTATCTTTTGTTTTGTGACACTGCAGACCCTGAGTTATCTGTGACAGGTTCTGGGCATGGGGAACACGATTGGGCAACCATTCGTGGAAAGCAGCAAGATCCACTTGGACTCGTCTTGTATCTGATTGTATTCAGCACTTGTACCACCAGGATATAACAGATGTTGGGTCTGTTGGAAGCAATGTGAGTAGCAAAATATCTTCTCTTTTGGTGGAATGACATTTGAGGATGTTAGCACAAAAAAAAACAAATAAAAAACCCCACAAAACAAACAAACAAACAAACCCACAAAAAAACCCTCCACAAAAACCAAAAACCCAACAACAAAAACACCCCATAAAATACAACAAACAGCCAAAAAAATCAAACAGGTGGCACATGTCAGAGCTGTTTTCTGTGGCATGGCTAAAATGTTCTAAATTTCAAGACTGGCTGATAAATTAGGAATGCCAGGATATTTTTTTTTCTGAGAAGCTAGCCAAACTTAGCAGCTTGCCTACAAAATCAGCAGAATCCCAAGTGATTGGTGCAGGTCCGGCATTTCAGTTTAAAAAAAAGAGTCTGCCAGAAAGAAGAGTATAAATGACCCATGACATACACAAACATTTTGTCTATGCAACAGCAAGAGCTGTGTAGTTTGACTTGTGTGTCATGAAAGCCACAAAAGATCCAAGCACTTGGATTTATGCAATAGCTTTCTGGTTTTTCTTTTTCAAATTCAACAATTCAATAGAAGGAAGAAATGCTTTCAACGGCCATTCGTAAGTAATGCTGATTACTGGCCTCCTACGAGCTTGATGAAGTCCAGAAAATCCATCGCTGACTGATGCTTTCCCTGTGCAAAATCGGATTTTTGTATTTTGCTAATCCCCGGTTACAATCTGTGTCCTGCTCTTTGTGATCCACCCTGCAATCAGAATCCAGCCAGCCCAGATGTAACCCAGGACATTAATATAAAATCTTGACGTTGGAAACCGAGTATTTATTAGCATAAATCTTAAATACATGAGGGAGGTGTTTCCTGTGCAGAAACTTTGGGATATGTCTGTTTCCTTGGGCTGAGGAGTACAAGGAGCTTTCACAGGCAAAGCGGCAAACTGGAAGTGGCCTGGAGCTGACACACTGGAGCACTCCCTGCCTGGGCTGGATGGTTTTCTTGCTCTGAGGAGCAGGACGAGCTTCTAGGAGATGCTCCAGTACATCCTTTGGATCTTTCTCCTGGCAACAATGAAGGCGAGAGGGGAGCTGCCATTCATTGCAGAAAACAATGCGGCTATGATGGTGAACTGGTAAGGAAAAAAGTGTCTTTACTCTTTCATGGGAGATAGAGTGCTCATTCTTTTCCTGCAGAAGTGACCGCTCTGTCCACATGCTTCTCTTGACTTTAGGTGTCTTTGCTTTAGCAACAGCTTTGTGTCTCCTGCAATGTGCAATGGGGGGGGATGAAGGTCTATAGGATGGAGATGGCAGCTCTGTTTAGCAGCTGCCCGTGGCAAGCCTTCCCTCACTTTGTGCCCTGTTTTGGAGCATAAACAGCAAGCTCAGATGCTCCCTCTTTTTTTTTGCCAGTTGGAGCATAGAGATTTATGCATCTTTATGTTTCGGTCCAGCTAACTTTGTGTGCAAGTGTATGTGTACCTGTTTTCACAACTCCTGCATTTCCTACAGATAGTAACAGGTACTTAATTCAATCTATACTTTGTCCTCTACAACTCTGCCAATCATTTTTCACCAGGTATACAATATATCATCAGCAGACTCTGTTGGGCTTTTATCTGCAGGAATTGCTCCCAGCCGTGTTGTCACAGGCTGCCTCTTTCCCCAACCTTCCCTTCGTAGCAGGCTATTTCATTCCCCCTCTTCCCTGCCCCGATGGATGCTACTAATGCTCTCCAGTTGAATGCATTGTGTAACCTGGTTAAGCCCCCGTCCTGCTGAGCGCACGTGATCCCTGTCCCAGCCTCGACCCCCTCGGGAGTACCTCCCCCCGGCACCAATGCACACCCAGGGCTGCCCTTGCGTGGGAGCCTTAAGAAGCAGGGGGGGATGGCTCACGTGGAAGCCCGGCCTGCGATTAAAGCTTCTTTGCCTCCCTAATGCTGCCACATCTGGCGCCTCCGCTCGTAGCCTCGGACGGAATGGGAATCCTCGGGGTTTGCACCTCCTCTCCGGCCACGTGGTCCCCTGGACACGCTGCAGAGCCACACCAAGCCACAGCCCTTGACCCTCCACTCCCTATTCCTTTCCCCCCTCCTCCTTCCCCTCCCCCCGCAGTCTCATCAGGCAATCATTTTAAAGCGATGATTGAAACGGATCAAATGCGTGGGTGGTGTTTGCCTCCCAGGGTGGTTTCACCCACGGGAAAATAAGCCAGCAATAGCACTGGCAGCCTCAGCAAAGGCCATCGCCAAGAAGCTGCGAGCGGCTTCTCCAGCACTCCTGTAAATAGCAGGGGCTTGGATGCATCTTTAGCAACAGACTTGCAATGTACCTAAGAGACAGCACATGATTCTCTCAGTGTTTAAGTGTCTCTGCTAAGTGGCCATGAACCTGCACAGGATCGCCCTAGCGCTCCACATCCCACGCATACTTCCCTAGCACTCCACATCCCACGCATACTTCCCTAACCAGAGCCTGTGGATCTCCCCTCCCACTCTGGCTATCAGCAACCCTAGGATGGAAATATTCTCCATACCTGTACTGGTACTGATGTTTTCAGTTCCTACAGTTTGTCCCATCAGGTGGTACTGGTTAAGTCGTGAGCCATCTTCAGCCACCACCACAGACGTTGTGGTGCTGTTAGTCCACACATAGATCACTTCAGAATTGGGGTAAGCATCTGCCAAAAAGGAAAAAAGATGGTGATGAGTAAAAACCACTGTGTAATATTTTAGTGCATCCTTAAATGGTATCGGCAGGGAGCGAGAATAATGGAGGAGTGAGAGTGAATGGAGAAAACCAAATAATCATGGTCCCATATGCCCAGCTCAAAAAATATTAGGTTGAAGCCTTCTAATATAAGAGATGTGTGGGATGGTTTGTGAATGGCTGGAACAGTGGAGGTAAAAATATAATCCATCACAACCACTCAATTTGGGAAAGAGCAGCTCAGACCTATACTCTCCTAGCTGGTAGTTTCCAAACCCCAGCAAGCTGCAAAAAGGCATTTTGCTGAAGCTCCCTCTGAAAAGGACTGAGGCACCTTGAGTGCCTGGACAAGAGGGACCCTGTGTGACTTTTCATGTCTCCAGTATAAAATTCTAAATGCATTCTGAAGCATGCAAGTGCAGGCTCTGGTGTGTATGCGCTGACTTTGGAATACATACTTGTGGGTGAGGGGGTAGGTCTTGCATGATGACTGTAGATAAAGGAAGGTGGCATATGTCTGCCTGTGCCTGTGGTGCTGAAGAGCAGACACAGGATTCAGGGGTGAGAATGCATGAAGGAGAGCAGGAATGAGGTGGGAGGAAGGGGAGGTGTCTGTGCATACCAGAGCAAATGTGTGGTGGTGTGTAAACACCTGCACACCTGTAGAACTGAACTCATGTACTCTTGTACATGTTCTCTCATGTACTTTTATGAGTCCTAGGAAATTAAGGTGGTGGCAGTACTGCCAACTCATTCCTTCCTCTATAACGCTGCTGCAACTTTTCATGCACTAACATCTAGAGTGATTAGAGTATTATAAGGGAATATCAGTTTTCTTTTAGAAAGACAGTCAATGCTGCTTTTATTTTTTAAGCCTTCTCTGTTGATAGCCCCAAAAAATCCAGGAGCTGACTATACATTTAAATGTCTTTTATTTAAAATAAGTAGCTCTCAGCCTTTTTAGAACATCTCTATCATTGAAAGTCTGCAAGTCACACTCCTGTAAGCTAAAATCTCTGGAAAGCAGGCAAGGCTTACACTCCTAATACAAGGTGAAAAGCAGGTAGGCTTGGAAGTGGTCTGAAGTAAAATACTATTATCTCACCTTCTGCACTCTTTACCATGGAAGTTGGGAGTGTAGAATGTTTCTTTCTGGAAAAACTGGCATCCTAGCTCAGAATACAATACATGGTGGTTTTCCAGATAAGGACTTGAGAGTTAAGGACAAGAGGTTAGCTTGAAGGATCATGTGTACTGTCTCCATCAGACTGTGTGTTTTGTTTGCTAGAGCTAGTAGGCTGTCTTGGAAAGCTGCAGCTCCATGGAGGAATTATAAAAAATTCACAGAGAGTGGGTCAATGTGAGCTTCTGAGCCACTGCAAGGGCAAGAAACATGCTAATGTGATCCCTGGATCCATACAACAAGAAATGTCAACAAGTAGAAAACGGCAAGTGATCTTGGTTCAGGCTAAGAGCACGTGTATGTTGTACAGTGAACTTCACATCACTGGAACGCTGGACCAGGTAGCAGGGAAGAAAGCAGCATCTCTTTACACTGTTATTAATGTTACTGTGCCACACGTGGGAGGCAGAACACTAGGCTAGATACACCTTTGGTTTATGGCTATTCATCCACACTTCAGAAAATAGAAATAATGGGGACAGAGAGGGGGAGAGAATTCAAAAGAGGGTTACAAGTATCTCCAGGGACTGGAAAATAAGTCATGATTTGAAACTTAAGCAGCTCAACTTATTCAGCTCACTGACAAAAAGCTGAGATGTGGCTCAAGGTCTGAGTATAGATAGTTGCATACAGAAATCTAAAACCAGGATGAAACTCTTGTACTATAACAAAAGGTGTCTGAATGATTGTTCCAGGCAGATTCAGATGAAGAATGGGACACCATTTCCTAACTAGGTGGGGGGTGGGTAATAACTCAGTGTTTAACCTGAGGAAAAAAAATATGGACTACTGTCACTAGGATGATAATGGTGGGTTGAAATCATTTTTGTCACATATCTGACAGTTGCTGCTGTATTCAGGGCTGGAGCTGATGTAAGGTTTGGAAGTTCAGGATCTACAAATCCTTCATCCCTTGTTAGCCATGCAGGACTGCCCACAGGCCTTCCTTACGCTTGTATTTGTAGCTCTGCAGTAAAATTACTGTAATTACATGTCATGATCTGCTACAAAAGGCTAGGAAGGAATGTCTTCCCTATTTCAAAATATTTGCATAACAAAAAGTGGTGAAATTTCAGCTTCCTTTTAGAGCCGAGATGCTTCATCTCAGAGATGATTACAAGCTCACAACATGGTGTAAATAATTTCAAAGCCAGATCTGGAGAAGACAAGTCGAAGGAGTTGGGTCCATTTAAAAATATGATGCAGGAAGCCCTCATTTTTTAAATGCTTATCTGGCATATGTTGTTCATGTGCTGATATCCCCAGTGAATGTGGGATTTTGTTAGGGAGATTTGAGACTGTCAGAGAATTTGATTTGTACCTATGTTACTTTCTATGCAAACCCCCAGCACTGAATTTTTTTTCTGGGGTGACCCAGAAGTATCCCACCTCAGCAGTTCCCTGTTTCTGCAATGATCACAGCCACTGGGATAACTGAGTTAGTCCTGTTTTCTGATGATGACACACATTAATTCATCCTGACTAGACGCTTCCCAATGAGAGCAGTGCAACCAAATTCCACCGAAATTGAGACTACATGAGAATATAGGCCTCTAAGGCTTAACAGGTATTCAGATGCTTTGGTTCTCTGCCTAGCCTGGGAGGGTCCTAAAATAAATCAGTGCCTCTGCTTTAAATTGCAGGTTTTATTGGATACTGAAATACATGCACCAGTACAGGGTTGGAGGCTCCTACTCCGGAAAAGTCCAGCAACTTCTCTTGTAAAAAAAAATCTGCAATTCAAACAGAGGCCAGAAGGTGCCAAAACTCATCCAGATCTCACAGATAGGCTCAAGCAATACTTCATGAACCTGTTGTCTTTCAAAACTATGCCAGGGAAGGGAGGTTACACATCGCAGGCCAGCTAGTGAGAAGAGAGAGCACTCAGGCAAGTGCTCTTGCTCAGGCAAGATGAGGCCAGTCACTGCCTGGGAGGAAGGCTCTAGCCTGTCGGTCCTTTCTCACATGAAAATACCTATTGCAAGTCAGAGAGCTGCACCATGCTTGGCCAGGAGTAGAGTATCTATGGGAGAAGGGAGAATAGCCCAGCTAGAAAAGATTCTTATGCAAGGGCACATAGAGGGCTTTAAGACACAAGAGGATAACAGATGTGCTCCTGCAGAGCCCAACCCAAATCAATGTAACCCACAGTGATTTTACCTCCTCAGGAGAAGTCTGTCACATTAGGAATAGCATGAATTTACCCTAATCTAGAGATATTCTATTGTGATGGATCACATATGATCCTCATCCATCTTCCATGCAAATGTTTTAAGAAGCTCTAACATAAGATTTTTGACTTAGTGCCTCCTTTTCTTACTATAGGTCAAGTTCTGACAGGAAAAAGCCAACCCATGCACCTTGGTGTGGCGGCTGAACCACAAACTATCTCTTTTCTGGTCATCTAGATAAAGGAGATAACCTACAATTTTAGCAGGTAGTTGTCTTCCTACTGCAAACCTTCTGCCATGTCTTCCCAGAAGCCTCAAACTCCAATTATCCCAAACTCGACAACCACAAGCTCCAGCTCTGCTGCTGATTACCCCTGCAGTATAATTAGGCCCAGTCATATTGAAAGCTGAAAGTGTGGATGTAGTCTAGAATAATGTTAATTTCCTATTGGGAAGGAATGAAGAGATGCTAATGGAGAGATGGTATTATTCACTGTCATACCAAACTGTGTAAAAACGCCCTTCCACTTAAACAAAGCTTCCAGTAGGTAGGTTGCCTACTAGCCATGCTTGCTGAAGGACTAAAGAACTTCAGCTCATGCTGTCTAGAATTATAGGAAAGGTTTACTCATGATAAGGAAATATGGCCCTCATCTCCTCTACCTGACACACAGGGTGGGGACATCTCCCAGAGGGTGATAGGAAAATGTAGTAGTGGCTCTGGGACAGCAAGCTGAGACAATAATGCTGGTAGTGTTGTAAAAGCGAGCTCAAATTCAAAGCCACTGAACATTCAAGTGAGACTGCTTGGTGTTTATTCTATTTTAAGCAAGTGGGCATCTTCTGGAGTTATGAATCTGAATAAGTAATTTGGTGTTCTTTGCAATCATTTTGCTGTCTTGGCAAAGAAAGGATGGAGCCTTGTTAAACTATCCTTTCTCTTCTAAGTTCACTCTTTCAAAAAGGAAAAAGAAAGGGTAGCAGTTGAGATGAACAGCTAAAATTACAGAGAAGTATAATGTTATTAAATATGAGAAAATGACAACAGACATTTATTTCTAGTGGACAGTTGATAAATTGCTACAGGCTTATCACCTACCAGGATGATGAAAGAAGTAATTTCTTCTCATATCTATTTACTGATGAGCAGATTTATTTTTCTGCCTTCTAGCATCCAACACACACTGCACAATGTAAAAATGGTAAAGAGGTCCCTTGCTCTTCTCCCACACTCCTCCTGCTCCTTTATGTCTGGCAAGGAAAGCATGACATGGTCTTTCTTATGCCAGTGAACAGTGGGTAGAGGAGTGACCACAGCCAAAGAGAAGAAAAAGTCTAGCAAAGCAGAGCAGTTATTTGGTAAGACCTGAAGAATCCCTGCCATTTGCCTTGGCATTGAGGAGTGACCTCTTTTCCCTGTTTTCATTTGCAAATGAAACAGTGTGAGCAGTGTAGCATCTTCCCTTCCATTCAAAAAGCAACCCACAAGCAGGGAGCCTATTCCTGCCACTGCCTCCACCACAGGGCAGTGATGGCACCTGACAAACACCCTTCTTCTCGCCTTTTGTTCTTCCATATTTGGAATGAATTCCAGGAGAAAAAAAAAAAAAAGGTGGG